CCTGACAAGATCGAACGAATGCCGTCATCTTTCTTCGGCTTGTCTCCCTTAACGGACGTTAATCTCAATCTACGCCTGAGGGAGTTTCCAGACGAGTTCGGTGGGCTGAAATCTCTTACGAAACTAAAGCTGGAGAATTTTCTTATCGAAGAACTACCCGAGTCTTTTGGCCAGCTCACCGCCTTGACCGAGCTAGATATCTCCGAGTGCATACTGCTGTACGGTCTGCCGGATTCCTTCGGCAATCTTTCCTCCTTAAAGAAACCTACCGTTTACTATGCAAGGTCGTTGGAGGTTCTTCCTGATACCCTCGGCCAGCTTCAGAATCTCCAAGAAGTTATTCTCAATTGCAACGAATCCCTCTTACAGCTCCCACATTCTTTCTACAACCTTCCTTCTCTCAAGGTTCTCACGCTGTGGATGTTGGATGATCTCAAGGAGCTTGATAGCGAAGTGTCCAATCTCGTGTCTCTTGAAGAGCTCAGTATCGACATGTGCTGCCGGTTCTCTTCGCTTCCTGCATCCCTCTGCACGCTCCCCAAGCTTCGTTCCATGGGAATCTCCGGCTGCAAGCTTCTCACTCACCTACCGCAAAGCATCGGCGATTTAACCTCACTGGAATATCTAGCGTTATGCAAGCTCAGAAACTTGAAGCGTCTGCCAGCAACGATTTCCGAGCTATCCAATCTTCACCCTGCAGCATTGCAACAGCATCTCCAACATCCCTGCATCACTTCTACAGAGATCTAAGAGACTGCAAGAGCTCAGGTTTCAGTGGCCATCCTGTTGTGCGGGAAGCCAGCAGGCTGGCAAAGTATCCTCTGGTGAAGCTGCTTTCATGTCTTCAATCTGCAACTTATCCCACCTTAAATTTGTCAATCTCTCTGGCTTTCCCCGCCTCAGTACTCTTCCCCAGGAATTCGGGGATCTCGTGCAGCTGGGCCGGATGATACTTTCTTCCTAGCCCAGCTTGTCAAGGTTTCCGGAGTCTATGTCCAAGCTGACCAAGCTATCGGAAATTGTAGTGGCTGCATGCCTAACTTTTAAAAAATCTGCTGCTGCCGTTCCTGGACTTCCGAATCTGAGAATTGATGTGACAAGCGATGACTGGGATTGGGACAATGATGAAGAGGACGAGGATGAAGAGGAGGAGGATGAAGAGGAGGAGGATGAAGAGGAGGATGAAGATGAAAAGGATGAAGAGGAAGAGGATGAAGAGGAGGAGGAGGATGATGATGAAGAGGGCGAGGACGAAGAGGATGAGGTTGAAGAGGACGAGGATGAGTTAGGAAGATACCGCAGTTTGTTGATGCAGAGGAGGTGGAAGCTTAGTGCGCCTCCTTGCATACCGTATATGTTTCTTCAGTGATATGACTTGATTCAGACTGATGTGGTAGCTATTATGCAGTGATGCTACAAAATATTAATGCTGCATACCTATTGCTTCTGAAATCAAGAGGGTGGGGGGAGGATCTGGTTGGGTGTGTTGGGGGTTTGATAAATCAGTGTGGCAAAAAATCAAATAGGAGGCTCTGGAACTGACAATATCTTTCAGTATAAAATGAAGATATATACGGTACGTAGTCAAGGGTGATGTCTGATCACAATCTGTATGCTGCTCTCTCATCAGTGTGGTTCAACTCAACACATCAGCATAAACACATAAGGTAGAGTACAGATTGCTCCGCCCCACCCTCATTAATGGTGAAACTTCTAACCTGACCCTACACATACCGTATCACCCCGGATATAAGCGCAGGCCTAAGATAAGCGCATGCGCTTGTATCTGGAGCAATGCGCTTATGGCCGATCCTCAATTATAAGCGAAGCCCTCCAGAATTCTTTACTGATTATAAGCACACCCTTCTACAGTTCTGATGGCTTTAACACTGATTTACTGCTTTACAATTTCACTATAGGCCCTGACAGGGCTTTGAAACTAACTCCACTAATATTTCACTACAAACGCACATTTTTTTACAAGTTTAGCCATCTAGAGGTAGGATCTTTTACCTAATGTAGCCTAAGGGAGGTCACTCCTCCTCATCCGACTCAGGCTCCTGGCAGCTGTTGCCCCAGAAGCCATCAGCCTGGATCTCGTCATCTACATCAACTTCGTGCGTCAGCTGTCCTCTCCGGTGCGCCATCGCCAGCTTATCCTCGCTGCCGTCCAGTGCGTTGCTAATGCCGCACGTCAAAAAGGCCTTCTTGATCAGCTCTGCAGGCACGGCCCTCCAGGCCTTGGAAACCCACTTGAGAAGGACCGCCGGAGGCGGTTTCTTGATGTTGCCTGCAAGACGATTAAACAGAAGAAAATAAGATGTCATAACCGTGCGACGGGGGAAACATTAGAAGTACTGACTCGCGAAAACACTGTGATGCTCGCCTGCTGCGGTGAGTTCGTTCATGCCCTCTTGCTCGAACCAATTCTGGTACTGCTGCCGCACCGACACCTTGAAGCTTTTGTTGATGGCCACATCGAGCGGCTGCACCTCTGTCGTGCATCCCGCCGGGATGACCGCGGGGACGATGTTGTACTCCGCGAACTTCTTCTTGACTTCCTTCGTCAGGTGACCTCGGAAGGAGTCGAGGACGAGCAGAGCGCTTGGCCCCTGCACGCCAAAGAGAGGGTGGGGGAGGGGAGTCGAGGGCTTGATGAAAGGCGCTACCGCCTTGTCGAGCCACTCGATGACGTTCTCCGCCGCCATCCATCCGTTCTCTTGAACCCCGACCACGACATCTGCGAAACAAAAACACGGTGGTTAGTGGGGCAGCCAGAAACACTAAACGCACACACACCACATCTACGTCCTTACCGTTCGGGAAGTCGCCCTTTGGCACGGTCTTGCGCTTGAAAAACACCTACGGCTTCAGCTTGTTTCCCGTTGCCGTGCACGCCAGCATCACGGTGACGCGTTCTTTCTGGTACCCGCCGCTGCGGATGGGCACCGACTTCACGCCCGTCTGCTCCACTGTGGTTGTCGCCGGCATCTCCAGCCACAGTGGTGTCTGGTCGGCGTTGATTATGTAGCGGCTGTCGATCTCATAGTCATGCCGTGCTTCCCGAACAAACGTCCAGAACTCCTTGCACTGTTTCGCGACGTCTGCGCAAGAGGATCAATAGACAAGGCAGAAGGGCAGATTAGTTACTGCAGCTCACAAACAGGGAACGCAAACACAACATGAACACCGAACACCGAACGAATTCCATGAAGACGGTGCATGGCACTTACGTTTCTGTGTTTTCTGCGCCACCTTGGTTTTCATTTGCACGGTTAGATTCCAGCGCTTGCGGAAGCGTTCGGACCATCGCTGGCTGCCTTTCCACTTTACTTCCGGGAAGAGGACTTTCATCACCTCGTGCGACCACTCTTGGAGCCGGCCCACCGAAACAGCAAGACCACGTCGCCGCCAGTCGATGAGCTGCGCGTAGATCTTCATCTCCATCGGACGGTACCAAGAGGATCGCCCGCGTCCATGCAGTCGCTTCCGTGCGCTGTGGGCGTCCTTCAGCTCCTGCGCCTGCTGCCTCCACTTGGTCAAGCACTTGCGGTGGATGCCGGACTCCCGCGCCACCTCGCTAATCGATGCTGCAAGCTCCAGGCGCAATAGCCACATCAGCTTCTCCTGGGCGGTGTACGAGGCACGCTTATGTTGTGTCTGTTTATGCCTGGGGGAGGGGGGGCATGCATCTCGGTTCACAACAGAGGGGTGGGGACGTTTGCCTGCATATGGAGAACCGGTACTCGTAAAAGGAGCGGGCGGATTCGGAGGAGCAGGAGGGGCTGGAGGAGCAGGTGGGGCAGGTGGAGCAGGAGGAGCAGGGGGAGCAGGCAGCGATGGAGCCACGGGTGGGTAAGGAGGGTCAGGAGGTTCACGGGTATACCACCCGTCGTCGGTTAATCGCCACGCGTGTCTCGGTTTCTTCTTAAAAAAAGAAGTGGGTCCATGAGAATTCCGCTATGGCTTCGCCAGCCAGGCGGGCTAGTGCAAGAAACTGAATGAAAAAACAGGAGGGGTTGCAGAAATGGGAAACGGAGGGGACCCCTGCTGAGTTTGCAGCTCAGGTTCCTTGTCAGGTGCAGGAGGGAAATCCCCGCCTGAACCCGCAGAGGACCCTGCATGGCAGCATAATCGCTGCGCTGGCAGGGAATTTTCCGCACCCTTCGAGAGGGTTCGGATAAAATTCGCATGCCATGCTGCGCAGCTCGATGTGATTGGGCCGCACGGCAAGATTTGCGTCATCGCTGGCAGGTGCGATGCTTCTAGACGAAAGTGTGGGGTGGGAAACCGAGGCGCGTTGCTGTTTTCGCCTCGAATTCATGCACGACCCCACGTGATGCATGGTCGGCTACATTCGCCTTACAGTGGGCTTCAATTTGGTATAACTCAAAGTCAATTTCATTTTTTACTTATTATGACCGCATGCGCTTATGCCCGTTTCTCATTTATAAGAGCACCCCCCAAAACATCAATGTTTTATTATAAGCGCACCGGTGAAACGGTACCATACAACAACTACAATACACAAAACACAGCACAAATAGGCATCGCATCAGCTATCAATGGCACTATCCATTGCACAATACAAGCATGGTTGCTCCACCTGCATGCGACATACCCAGGTTCTTCAACCCTTTTTTTTTTCTCCCCGCTCGCCATGCCCGCCAGCTGGCGCACACCCATTGGCGCGATCGATCACTTGCTGCCCACAAAAATGCTCTGGGCCAGCACAAGCCCGAGGGATGCAGGAGGTTTTAGAAGATGCTGCCCTGGGGACGCCTGCACATTGCAGGAGTTTCCCGGTAACCATCTACTGTCTTGAGGTGCCTCAAACTCGGTACCAGAAGATGCTACCGCGCGGACGGCAGCACGTTGTGGGAGTTACCTGGTAACCACCCACTGTCGGTGGTGCCGCTCTGCACACTGTTTCTTGGTTAAAGAATGCTGAGTATGAAAGGGAGGTTGGCCGTCGCCGCACGCATTGGTATCGAGACGATCTACCTACAGATGAAGGTGGTCGGTGGAGGGAGGGGTGATGAATGGAGGGCATGGAAGGGGTACGGGGTAAATAGAAAGACGAGGGGTTGCGGAATGGAAAAGGGGATAGGGGAGAGAGATGAATACAGGATGCAGAGAGGTGAGGCGGGTATGATGTGGATGATACCACACTGTAGCAGAAGGCCGTTGATTGGAGGTGGGTCGTCACAGCATGCACTGGTGTCTAAGGAACTGCAGGTGAAGAGCGGGGAGGGAGGGGGATGGGGGAAAGTGGGGAAGCAGGGGGAGAGGATGATAGGAAGGGCCGCCGCAGCATGCATGCAGTAGTTTCAAACAGACCTGTGGATGGATGGGGGATGGGGGGAGAGTGGGGGAAAGCAGGCGGGGAAGTGGGCGGGGAAGCAGGGAGGTGAGGATGATAGGATGGGCTCGCAGCATGCATGGGCTTCGAAAAGGTGAAGAGTAGAGGGAAGGGGAATTGGGGGGATGTGGGGAAGAAGGGGGGGGTGAAGCAGGGGGGTGGGGATTGGAGTACGAACGGCCATCGCATCAACATTGGTTCGGATCGGAACCGGTTGCAGATTGGTAGAGCAGCAGGGAAAGGGGGGTTGAAGAGAGGAGGGCTGGAACGGCGAGAGGTAAGGGGAGTGAGGAGAAAACGAGGACCTGTCAGATGGTTATCATGTTGGCGAAGGGGGGACTTGATGCAGATGGTGCTGAGAATCTCCAAAAGCAACTCCAATATAGGGATGGGGAGGAATGAGAAAGAGGGTCTGTCAGATGGCTATCATGTTGGCGAAGGGGGGACCTGATGCAGATGAGGGGGACATGATGGAGATTAGGGGGACGTGATGCAGATGGTTTCGAGAATTCTAAAAAGCAGCTCCAATGTAGGGACGGGGAGAAACAGAGGTCTTGTCAGATGGCTATCATGTTGGCGAAGGGGGGACATGATGCAGATGGAGGGGACATGATGGCCAGGAATGCCCAGCAGCAGTCCCCAGAGAAGAACACATGGCCGCCGACAACTTCCGAGCCTTTGAGGGTCTTCCACAGCCCAGCAGCAGCAGGCAGCAGGCAAGGCAGCAGGTAGCAGGCAGCAGGCAAGGCAGCAGGTAGCAGGCAGCAGGCAAGGCAGCAGGCAAAGCAGCAGGTAGCAGGCAGCAAAAAGCTGCATATTCTTGTGCTTCTGGCCATACCCATCGATCATGCTGACGCTCACCCCCTGCTTTCCTGCCGGCCGGCTGCAGTGCCTGCCACCACAGCAACAGGCAGTCGAGAAAGGGGGCTCCAATCGGCAGGAACCGCCACGTTTTGAGTCGACTCTGAACTCGCTCACACGCCCCCTTCACTTCAACCCCCCTCTTCCCTCACCTTTGCTGGTCTGCCGGCTGCAGCGCCTTCCACGCCACCGCAGCAGGCAGCCAAATGAGAAAAGAGGGGGTTTGCAAATAGAAAAAAGCGCGGTGCTTTCACTCCACTCTAAAATCGCTCACACCCTCCCTCCCCCTCCTTCTCTCCTTCCTTGATTCTCTGCTTCTCTGCCGGCTGTAGCGCCTTCCACGCCACCGCAGCAGGCAGCCAAACGGGGTAAGGGAGGGGGGCTGGGAACAGAGAGAAGCACCACGTTTTTATCAAATCTAAACTTGCTCACACGCCCCCTTCAATTCACCCCCCTCTCCCCCCCCTTGCTGGTGCGCCGATTGCAGCGCCGCATGTGCAGCAGGCAGCCAAACGGGGGAAGGGGGGGCCTGCGAACAGCGAGAAGCGCCGCGCTTTCGGTCGACTCTTAACTCGCTCACACCCCCCTTCCTGCTTCTCTGCCGGCTGCAGCGCCTTCTAAACCAAAACGGCTAGCAGCCAAAAAAGAGGAGTCCCAACAGCACGAGCCACCTTCACTTGGGCGTCAGAACTGGAATACACAAACATAGCCTCCACGTAGGTTCGATTCAACCCAAGCACCACAGCCGAAGCAAACACCTGCACTCAGCTTCACTTCCCATCCTCTTTTGAGGCGCCTAAAAAGTAGATGCTTCAACCCAAGCACCACAGCCGAAGCAAATGACTGCACTTGGCTTCACTCCCCATCCTCCGGCGGGGAGCCTCGAGAGAGAGTTTCATCTTGGCGTTTTTCTTCTTGAATATAACATTAATCTGGGACAAAGTACTTGTTTGTGTCGAAGCCGAGCCGGCTGTGGTGGAGAAGGTGGGCGGGACAGACATGCAAGCAGGCTGGTGTCGGTACCGGCTGTGGCCTGTGCCTGTACCGACACCAATGCAGGCTGGTGGGTCAAACGAGTCAAACCTCTGCCTTTGCATCGGCCTGTATTTGGTCAAATCAAACCACGGGAGCTGCTTGAATACTAGGAGGCGGGGAAAGCGAGGAGGAGGTTCTGTTGGGAGGGAAGAGCACACGGAGGGAGGGAAGCAGGGAAAAGAGAGCGAGAGAACAGAGAGGGGAGTTGGGATAAGGAGAAAGAAAACAAGGTTCTGAACCAGTCCTGACCGTAAGAAACCATCCAATCCAGCGTTTCGAAACATACGCTATGAACCCGCACCCCTCGAACCTGCAAATCCGAACCTACCAGAGGTCCGGGTCCTCCAGGCGAGCATGCCAGCCAGCTGTCACGTCCACAGAGGTTGAAACCCTTGATCTGCCATGATGACACCTGGCATTTCAAAACTCCAGGGCGCCGCGACGGACGGGAGCTGTGCGCGGGTCCCCACAGCAGAAAACCGCCGCGCGCCTCGGGGCGCACGGCGGGCAGAAACTCGCCGCGCGCCCCGAGCGCACGGCAGGAAGAAGACGGCGCGCGCCCGAGGCGCGCGAGAAGCAGAACAGCAGCGGAAGCACTTAGGTGGCGGGCCCACCCACAGGATCGACCCAAGGGGGTCGACCTGCTCTGATAGCATGTCAAAATCAGTAACGAGAAGAAGGAGGGGTTTGCACTAGCAGCAGTAGGAATACATATAGGAAACCCTAATTGGGTTGTACTCGCTATAGAGTACCCCACTGCAGGCTAGACAATGATAACATTCTGACACGTGATTCGTAGCCGACGAGTTGCAGCCCTTTGCCGAAGTCCTGTAGCAGGACGGCGCCAACGGCGAAATCGTTGGCGTCTGTGATGACTTCGAACGGTCAAGATGGATCAGCGAGGCGGAGAACCGGGGGTAAACTCAAAATGTTTTTTATTTTGTCGAAGGCGGACTGCTCTCTCCCTCCCCACTGAAAATAGATGACCTTGTGCAGTAGGTCGGTTAGTGGCTTGGTTATCCCTGCCATGTTCGGGACAAAGCGGCGAACGTAGTTAACAACTCCCAAAAAGCTTTGCAACTCGGTAGTGTTAGTCGGCGGCTTCCACTTAGCGATGGTGTCGATCTTGCGAGTTCGATGGTACTAGACGCAAGTTCGTTAATTCCCATAGGGATGGTCCTAACAGTATGTGCGTTACTTACCCATGTATATTGTACCAGAATAAGTGCGCTAGTTACCCATGTAGATGATACTAATAATGAGTGCGTTTTTTACACATATGGATAGTACTAATAGTAAATGCGTTACTTAATCATATGGATGGTATTAAGAGCAAGTGCGTTACTTACTCGTATGGATGATACCAACAGTAACTGCGCTATATATCCGTATGACAGTAATACCGGTAAGTGCGACATATAAATACATGGATAGTACTAGGAGTAAGTGCATTACCTACTTGTTGTTATGAGTGCAATTGAGCAAACGAGCGGGAATTGCATTATCGAAGCAAAAAAGTAGATCGAGTGAAGAAATGACGAATATTATATAGCGGAGCTAGCGTGGTAACAGTAACGCAAAAATATGGGCTGCACTACCGGCCTAGCGCCGAGGCTGGGGATTGTCGAGGGGGAGGTCCGGAGCGCGGGTTACCAACCAGCCGTGATGTTGGGTCGCGGCGTAAACTGTGGCGGGAACAGTGATCGAGGCGCGAGTGGTAACGGTGCACTGATGGGTACAGTTGGCGCAAACAGTTGTGTACGAGGTAAGCAGGGGCGCAAAGTAAAGAGAAGGAATTTCCCATATGCTTCCCCCCTCCCCAGGGACGCCTTCCCTACGAGAGAGTGCGTGTACATCCCGGAAATTGTGGCTGCGCAAGTACTCGGTGAGGGCAGGATGGTTTTTAATCCTATCCAGGGGCACCCAGTTGTCTTCGGTGGGCGTGCGGTCTTTCCAGCAAATCAGGAACTTGATCCTACAACCCCCACGTGGGTCACGGTGGCTCACAATTTTATCGGGTATGACGATCGGCTCTGTTGGTGGTCGTGTAGGGGCGGCTATGCGGTAGTTGGCTGGTGGATGGTACATATGGGCGGAGTAAGCTGACATGGAATGACGGGCTGACGTACCAGTCAGCAGGGAGGAGGATGTAGGCGGTGACAGGTGTTATCATGTGGCTAATGCAGAATGGCCCACAATATCGGGGGCGGAGTTTCGGACTAATGGGCAGACGGAGGGTTCTGACTGTCGAGTAACACGAGGTCGTCGGGCTGGTAAGCGACGGGGCGGCGGTGGCGATCGACATTGTGTCTAGCGATGATGTTGGATTATTTTATGGCGTCTGCTGCTCAGGTCCGGGCTGCATGTAAGATTCCGGCCAACTGTTGCGCGCGTAGGACTGGGTTGTCGGGATTCGAGGTCATGGGTACTGTGAGGTTCTGTCTGTAGTTGAGGTAAAATGGCGACTGCTATGTTGTGGCTGACGTGCAGTTGTTGTACGCGAATTCGATGAGTGGCAACTGCTGCTCCCAAGTTGCCGGGTTGTCGCACATGGCTCGGATTAACTGCTCGATGGTCGCTCTCTTTGACTGTCGGTTTCGGGGTGGTATGATGAACTAAACTGTAGCTGTGTACCGAACTGCTGCCACAGGTTCCGCCAGAATTTGCTGGTGAATTTCGTGTCGCGGTCGCTTATGGTCGCTGCTGGTATCCCGTGCAGTCGAACGACGGTGGAGATGAAGAGTCAAGCTGTTTCTTCGGCAGCCGATCGACGACGACCAGGATTACGTCGTTCCCATTCGCCCCAGCCTGTAACCTCGTGATGAAATCCATCGTCACCTGCTGCCAAGCATGCTCTAAGAGTGGTATCGGCTGCAACAATCCTGCCGGCCGCTTCCGCGACGACTTCATGAGCTAGCAGGTGGGACATGATGCCACGTGTCGTTGTACGTCCGTCAATTTTTCGGGCCAGTAGTAATACCGTTGCAGCTGCTGTCGTGTTTTCTCTACTCCGAAATGTCCTGAGGTAACTCAGTCGCGTGCCTCCTGTAGCAGTAGTTCCCGTAGTAGAGTGTAACCCGGTATCGAGATGCGATCAGTGCCAACTTTTACATCATAAATCCCTTTTGTTCCTGCAAACTGCTGCGAATTTCCTCCTGTAAAAAGCGGATTTGTCTGGTATCTGTGGATAAATAGTCATGTGAGCAGTGGGCTGGTTTGGACGAGTAGTATGGCATTGGCGATATTCGAAGCTCCTTTTAAGGTGACCGTATAGTAGAAGTTTGACTC